CGAGATTCTGTCCATTAGGTGCAAGCTAATAAAGAAGCTGAGCTGATTTCCGGACTCTCTCATGTGATTCCTGGGCTGAACCTGACACTAACCACAGTTATAATTAAAATACAAATAACACAAAACATCAATACGTGTAATAGCAACTGAGATAAAACCGATTTGCCACAGGTCAGTGACTTCACAGGCCCCAAATAACAGTCTGAACCCTTTGCCTGGATCTTCAAGGCTTTGTGAAAAGCCAACAGGACTGAGGTCATTCTAATCATATGGGGAATGGTGTTTTAAAGGGCAGATGCCAACCTTTCTAAAGAAGAGGTAGTATCTGATCCTAATAGTTTGATATTTTTGGAGCAAATGCCAAAAATAGCGTAGCGTGCATTTATTTGCATGTGAGAGCAGAATTGCTAGAGACCCACTTAACAGTGCAGAAAAGCAGCGATTGCTATTGGTCATTGTAGAGCTTTAGTCTTTTAAGTTATTGTCATTCATTTATACACTATTCAATTTTATACCATATTATTATAATTCATATAGTTTTAATATTAATATTAAATATAGATTACCTGTAGATCTTTGTGAAATAGGATCTTATCATTCATGTCAGCTTTTTAAATTTACCTTCAGTGGTGAGTCTATAGTTTTGCCCAAATTTAGATTTCCATGATGTTCACTTTCGTCTTTAAAACCTAAAACATACCATTTTAGTTATACTATTGTTATTCTGCGAGCCTCTTGAGCCTCTTAGAGTCAGTTTGGAGTTGGGCAGCACCTAAATTGAAATAAATAAATAAATAATGTTATTCCAATTTTAATTTGTGCTATATATCTAAATGTTAGTCTTTTCTTGTAATATATCATTTTGATTATTACCACAATGGGATGGCTGTGCTTTTATTTTTGAATGTTATGCTGGATGATGACCAAAATAAAGAGGCTTGTCAATTTGATCGAACAGCAGAGGACACAGTTATAACTGAGCTCAAATGCTGGAATAAATTCATTTTGGTATGAACCGGTTGAGTTCTCGAGCAATAGTTCATTTAGTTGAAAATGTTCCAATGATTGAACAGTACTCTGTATGTGTGCCCAACCTTTCTAGTGCTTAACTCAGAAGTATACGATATTAATTTAACGGGGGGAAATGTTGAACTGATGTGCACTGTTCTGCTATGGCCTTCTCCTTCTCCTTGTTCCTGATGGTTTGTTTTTCTATCAAAACTATTGATAGAAAAACAAACTATTTCTATTTTGTATTTCTTGGGTTTAACTCTCTCTCTATATCATACATGCACATGAATACACTTCCCCTTCATTTTAATATGTAAGAGAAACGTGTAATGTGTATGTTGTTTTTACTTTAGAGGAGAATATGTGTAGCTCAGGGTTGAACTGTGGAGTCCTTGGGGTTCTCTGAGCTTGGTTCTTTTCTTACAAAAATGAAATGTTTGCAAGAAAAGAACCAAGCTCAGAGAACCCCAAGGACTCCACTGTTTTTACTTGATTTGAAATAAAGACAGTTTAATTATTTTAATTATGTTGTTATCTGCAGAATTCTGGTCAATGACATAAAAAAAAAGGCTACTACTACTACTAAGAGAAATATATAAATTGGAATGCAAGTGATTTTGAGAATTCAATGCGCCTCTAACATCCAGAATGTCGTTCATAGGTATCTATCGCTGTGGGACTTGCGGCTTTTGCCTGCGTCCTCCTGGTGGTCCTATTTATTATGATCAACAAATATGGTCGGCGGTCAAAGTTTGGAATGAAAGGTACAGATCAATCCCTTTTCCCCTCCTTCAATGAACTCGATGCTGGGAGAGGTAGGTGGGAATTGTTTTCACAGGGTTTTAAATAGGTTTTAGTTCAGGGATTGCAAATATCTTCATAGCGGGAAGACAGTTGTGCAGTAGAAACAGGTAAACATTAAAGCTAGCAGACCAAAATCAAGAAGCCCCAAAGAAACATGCTGTATTACAAAGAATGGAATTCAGAAAAGGAGAAGACCTTCTGTGCCATTATGACTGGGGGTCACCAGTGCTAATTATTGGTTTGTTATGTGTGCCATGCTGGGCTTCAGTTTGTAAATTCACTTAGTAGTGAATAAGATTTGATTCACTGACAAAATGAAAGTGGCAACAGCTCCAGTCTCAAATACTAAAGGGAAATTTTAGGAAAGAGTGATTAATCATTAATACCATAATGAATGTGGTTTTGGTTCAACGTCAATGCAGAATTGAGCCCTGGGGGTCCCTCTTTCTGTTCTAGGATTATGTGGCTGTCACCAAGAGAAAGCTTTTGACTGACACTTTTGCTAGACAAAACCCAGATGCCCAGTCAGCTGATATCCCAGGGAATTACTGCTGCACTCCAGAAGCACACAATTACAGATGCCACGGTCAAATGGGGAAGCTATCAGGTGGCTGTCGGCCTTTTTTTAAAAAACTTTTTAAAAGACTCACAGAAAGAGGGAAACTGCAGTGGCCCAATTAAGCCTAGCATTGCCATGGACTGAGTTGAGGATGGGCTTATATACCCACCCTTTTCTTCCCATGCTTCATCTCTCCCTGTGTCTGGAGTGTTGAATGAAAAAGAAAATGGCAACAGAGATGAAGCCTCATAAATAGCCTCATAAAAACATTTCTGGGCTTTTCCTTCTTTGCACAATGTTGATCCACAGTGATTAATTTATCTCCAAACAACCCTTGGAAATTCGGGTCTAAAACTCATCCCCTATAACCACACTGTTGACCGGATTGAGTCATTTGTGTGACACACTGTCCTGTCCCCTGCACTTCCGACCCAGCGAACCTGTTGTACCAACAGAACTTTTGAGTACCCAAGTCTAGAGAGTAAATTGAGTTGCAAGGACATTGCTAGTTGCACCAAATGCCAAACATGATGAGCATTCAAATGTTGGCCTTCTGTATGCAGGCAGTCGACCAGCATTGCTAACTGAGGTCCATGATAAAAGGGTAATGGCTATGACCCTCTTTTCCACTCATGGATCTTTTGAATACCTAAGTAGTGGGTTCTTTCAAGGACAACATAGGTACTCACATAAGGAATGATTTAATATTTGCTGTGGGTGATTGTTGAAACCATTTAGAAAGGTGTGAGTGTTGCTAATGTCATGATCACATTGTGCTTTTTGGAAGAATGTGTAAGAGCAGTTAGCTGGAATTCATTCTCTTTTGGCCACACTTCTCTGTCAAGTTGTAGCCTCCACTACTTCTCTCATAAATCACCGACATAAACTTCCCTCTGCAGAGTTAATTCGTTTTCTTTTTTAGAGGCTTTTTATCAGTAAGGCTGTTAAGCAGAATCTGCAGTACATGAAGGTGTCTCAAACCCAGGATGGCTGCATTTTCCTTCTTTGATTTATCTAGTCAATAACTCTCTATAAGTACTAGGCAAGTTGAAAATCTTCCTATTTATTTATGTAGTTATTCCTTCCTACTTTCCCCTAACCCCCCTCTCCTCTTCAGGCTTTTGATTCAGGGCATTTCTCCTGAAGGATGATGGTGAGATTTTAAAGTTGAAATAAAGGCCACACATTCCCCCGTTGTGGTTGCCTGTTTGATTTAATTGCACGGCATTCCTTCTTCATTAGCACTGAGTTAATGTTCATCGGAGTTGTTTGTTAGCTTAACAGCACACATTTCAATTTGCCAAGCTGAATCAAACAAACAATAATACTCCTTCCTCTGTAGGGCATTACACGAGGAACTACCTTTCTCAAACATCCGCATCCAGATGTGCATCAGTTAACATATTTTTGCTTGGGTTTCCAGGCATAATTCAAAGCGCGCATTTTAAGTTTTAAGTAGCGCTTAAGTTCCCACTGCAAGCATTTTGCAGGGGCTGGGGGAAGGATTGAGAGTTGGTAAAACAAGGATGGATCCCCCTTGCCAATTTTGGAAGGAATTCTGCAAAGGGAGTGGGATTTAAATGGAGATATGGGACAGTCGTACTTTTATCTGAAGTATAATTTTGCTTCTTTGCTACTGGAATGGAATTCTTGTAATGGAATTCTCTGTTTAGTCTGGTAGCTCCTATTCCTCCCTGTGAATCAAGAGCCCTCTTTTGACAATAATTACTAAAAATCTAAAGCACTGTTTTCCGCGCTGTGAGATGGGGAACAAATGAAAGCTATAATTTAAGATGACACCTGCAATATAATATAGGCATATCACAGTCTGAGAAGTCCCAAGAAATTTTATCAGATTTCGCCCATTTCACTGTCCCATCCATATGAGAGAAGTGGCCCCATGAACTGTGCCCCCCACCAGCTGTTATGTGTAGCTCTTGACCACCAATACTTTGCACATCCCTCCTGCAGGCACACTCCCATGCAAGAACCCTGGAACAACTTTATATTAGAATTTACCAATGGTCTGCAGAGGGAGGGGAATATTAATGAATGAATTAATTAATTAATATAAGATTTATAAACTCCCATACTCCAAGGCCCTAGGGGGTGGGACAGAACAAAACATACCACAAGAAGGAGTTCCACTGTGCTCATAGTGGGCACAGAATGGCATTTAAAGAAAAGAAATAGAGAAAATAAGGAAACAAAGCTTCAAATTTGCCCACCCACCTGAAGGAAAATAATAATAATAAATAGTAATAATAAATAGTAATAATTAAAGAAAGCAAAGATAGTACCAATTGTATTAGGTGCCTTGGGTCCAATTCCAAAACATCTGGAGTACCCCTTGAAGACCATCAGCATTGACAAAATCATCATCAGTCAATTGCAAAAGGCAGCTTTACTCGAAACAGCTTCCATCCTGCAGACGAGACCTTTAACACCATCAAACAACAGCATCTGCCTATCCCAGGTCCTTGGGAAGGACTCAATAGGTAGATAAAAATGCTCAATCCAGTCTAAACATCTGGCTGACTGTGCGACCAAAAAAACAACAATAATAAATAGGGAAGCATTTTTTTCATTTTTTTTCTCACTCCCTATTTACCAGTTCAGCTTTAGTTTAACTTGAAAGGTCTGAGATCTGTAAGAATATCTTCCCTTATACCCTTTAAACTATCTGCTGAGATGCTAATCTAAGACTCTTAAGGTTTTACAGAGGGATATCATGGTGATACCCTGGTCTAACTAACAAGCTCCCCCAAGCCTTGCTGGCATTTGCTTAGTGCCAAAACAGTTGTACCCTTTAGACCAGAACTGCATGAAGGATGTGGCCTTCCAACATTCCTTTTGTGGCCAATAAAATGGGTAGGAGCAATATTTGGCCCCTTTTTTGCATTTGGGGGATTTGGCAATTTTAAGGGGGAAAAGGATCACTCTAGCTTTGCAGATGCCTAAACCATACATAATTCCACCCATTAGAAGCATTAAATTTAGCACATGGACCCTGACACACATGCCCCAAAATAGACCTGGTATGGTCCTTAATCTAACCTAAATTGTTCCATTTCACTTAAAATTTAAACTACCCGTTTAGCTAAGACTTTGATGGTAGAGGATATTAAGTTCCTACTTACCTCTAATGCATTTTACAGTTAGATTAGCATCAGAAGATTGTTTTTAAATGAAACACGTAGCCAACTGGGAACCTCAAGGTGAGGGAAAGTCAATTTTTTTTGTTTGTTTTCAACAAAGCTAAAAAAAATTGTTTTGTTTTTAACCAAAATAAAATGGAAGAAGACAAACAGACATGGTCTTTAAAAAAAATAATAATGTGAATTTAGCTTGCTAGGGCAATTAAGCAATAAATGACAAAAGGTTAATATAAGAAAAAAAGAATCCACCAAATTGCATTCCTGAATGAATGAATGAATGAATGAATGAATGAATGAATGAATGAATGAATGAATGAATGAATGAATATAGGTTTTAAGGCCATTCGAATGAATGAATGAATGAATGAATGAATGAATATATTCATTCATTCATTCATTCATTCATCTGCTGTACGGCCAAG